TGCTCATTTGAGCATTTATCTTTATGTCCTTTTTATTTTGCTCACTTGAGTTTTCTTTTATTTTTGAAGACACTTAATAACCAACTTGAACATTAAAAAACTTTAAGGTTACTTGGACTATTTGGTTACTATCATTGGCATAACAGATTTACAGACCTCTTGGACTTAGAACTAAAAGCCTTGATTACCCTTGGTACCTTGTGATTATGATGTTATTTTGTATGAAGTTTTTGGGGTTTACTCCAAGACATTGGGTTGATTTTCTTTGTATGCAGGTTATTCTGATTATATGCTTTGTATGTGATTAAGAATTCCTCTGTATACAACTGTTACTCTGCCCGATTTTTGTGAATGTTTAATTCATCTGAAGCTTGGTATTCCTAAGAGGTTTAGTATTTTTGCTTGCTTGGTTTTAATCCAAAGGATATGAATTCTACATTGACTCCTTATATCAAGTGTTGGCTTCTTATTGGTTAGATCGTTCTTTTCCTTAGTTTTTACCTTATGCTTTAGGATAGTCCCTTCATCTCCTCCCATATTCTTTAATTTCAAAAATCATCTCCCTCCTTTTCAAAACCATTCTTGTTTTCTAACTTGAACCGCTTTCATAATAAACTTAAACTCGAGTCCATACATTTTCAAAAATCTTTTCTTAATCAAACTTTAATTGATTTAATCATACTTTGACTTTTTTTTGTGAGAAGGCTAAAAGTAAATTAACCTCATTCATACCATTTTTTCACTTTGCCTTTTTACTTTAAAAACTTTTCTCAAAAGATTAGACTCTTGTTGGTTCTTGAAGTGATGTGAGCTACTATACTTCTACGAAATGTAGTGAAGTGAGATATTTTCCACTTAGATGTTAAGTGATGCTTTGTTGATTTTAAAATCTAAGATATACCATCCACTTTGAGATGATGCAAATTCTCTTTTCTCATGATCGTGGAAAGTAAGTATATTTTCCACTCGGACATTATAATGACGTCTCTTTTCTTAAAATTAACCAAAACACTCGTGCTTTAAAATTTTTAAGGTGAACTACGAGTACCATGATCCCCTATTACACAGAAGGTGGTATGTAGGCACTAAAGATTCACAACCGCGACAGGTGCAAAAATTGTAAAAAATACTTATTTTCTCATCTTCACCATCCATTTTTATATACATCTTTTATAGCAAAAAATACACAAATTTTCAAAGAGGTTCCTGCAGAGTACCGTAGATATTAATGGTGTTAATATCTTCCCTTTACATAACCAACCCCGACACCTAGATTCTCTCCCCTTCTTTTTGGGTTTATTCGCTCTTTTCCCATTTCCTTTGGAATTAATAAAGCGCGGTGACGATTTTTATTTAATCTGTGCGAGTCAAGTCAATCCAATGGCTTAGTCTCAATATTTCTACTGCTACAGATGGGAAACATGATTTACCACCTTTGCATCTTGAATGACGAGCTCTACATGTAAACAACCATTTTTCTCTTTGAAGATCCACAATTCATGAACTCGGACACCCATTTTGCAAACATGGTATCCTATTTCCAGGTCAGACACAAAGATTAGAGCCCTTGACATCTAGCATAAAATGACAATTGTATATGTTAGTCAAACAATGAACATAAGCGAACTGATTTTAGCCACAAAAGTAATGTTATGGCCATGGGACAAAAACTTCCGTAATAGCAGATGTTAGCCACACTCCATCAAGAAAAAGGTGTACATCCAAACAAACTCAACACACAAAATTCAAAAGGGAGAAAGTTGATGGAACATGAAACCATGAAAAGCAAACCGCTTCAAACATTAAAAGTAGTCATATTTTGATCCGTAAAGATAGAAAATGAATAAGTAAGAAAACAAACATGAAGATGAACTAAGTCTTGACAATGAAAAAGTAATAGAAACTATGTAAACGTAAACATCAACAAGAACAAATCTTTTGAAAGAGAAAAACTAAAAAAATGAACGAAAAATTTTCATATCTCCAAACATAACAACATGACAACATCAATGTCTAAAGTGGATAGAGTTTTAGTTCCATACCTCTTGTTGTTGTTAGTTGTTGAACCAATGATGTTGTGCCAAGAGTGAGAGAGAAAGGCATAAAGTAGTTATGGAAGCAGAGAGAGAGAGAGAGTTTATGAAGAGATAAATTTAATCTTTATACTTTATAATTTTATAAAAAGAAAATGATAAAATAAATAATGTGGTGGACTTTAACTTTAGTGACTAGATAGTAGATACCTATACCTTATATACTTTTTATAAATACAGTGAACAATATTTTTTAATGTTAATATATATATATTTAATTTGATAGTTGATTTTTTTCAGTGTTAATGATGATGGATGATAGTGGTGAGGTGCCACCATAGTTCCCATGTCATGGTTATCATGTGATTCCTTCACACTCCAATTTTTATTTAAAAAAAGATTATGATAAAATAGATTCCTTCACTTATTGGGATAATAAAAGAGGAACTTGAAATAAAATGCGTTTCACTAGGGCAGCTGCCATTGCCAAGCCACAGCTGCAACAGCCGACTGAGTCTCTCAACCACGTCGCTCTTTGCATTTGCCACGCAACTCTAACCATTTAATACCGCTTAAAACAAGCAACCGATTTGACTTTTCATCCATAACCATTATTTCTCTTAGCTTAGAAATTCGAGATTTTTACAAAACTATTATCTTTTTTTTTTATAGTAACAAAACATTGGGTGGATGTATAGTAACAAAAGTTTTTCTAAAAAGATGTTAGTTTGGGAGTAAGTTGAAAAATTATACTATTTTAGATAATAAATTGAAAAAAATGGTAAGTTTACGAAAAATTCTAGAAACCCTCCTTTTTGGATCTCAAATTTATTAAACTACAACAACACAATTTTATAATATTATTTTTAATTTTTATTAAATAGTTTAATGTCAATATCGCCACTTCAAACATCTGCTTATATAATCGGATAACTTTACACTAATAATTATTGAATTGTTCTGATTTAGTAGATCATTTCATATAAATTAAAAAATATATATAATTACAAGAGAAAATAATACTTATATTAAAGTTCTCTTTATTTAGTATAGGAAATTATAAAAATAGTATTAATTACAGGATAAAAGTGAAAATAATTAATTAATATTATATTAAAAATTAAAATAAATTATTTATTTTTAAATAATTTATTATTTTAAATAAGTCATTCCTTATAAAATTATAAAATAGAGAAAATATAATTCTATATATTTTTTTGAGGAATCTTCTTAGTTTACATCTTGAACTTGCTGACTGAATTATTATTGATTACATATATAAATTATTTAAGAAAAAATAAACTAAAACACTAAAATAATTTGAAATTGAACTTGGTATCTTAAATATGTAAAATACACCTCTTGCCAACTGAGTTACACTGTTTTTTTAATCTAAAATCACACAGCAAATAATAAATAAAGTAAATCTTAATAGTTATCTTCATCATCACCTGTTATCATCTTTACTCTCACTTCCAACAGTAATCTTAAAATCATTTGGATCAAGTAAATGCAAGAAATTATACACAATCGCAGAAGTGTGTCCAGATTCCATACATTCAACTCTCATCCTCCAAATTCTAAACGAATAAAACCAAGCAAATTCAAGATCTGAAAGTACGATACATTTGGAAGTACGAGACACGATCAAACTGTGAAGTGGATTCTTACACTCCGACAGAGCATCTTTGTCATCAGAAATCGATTTGTGGTTTTATAATTTCTGTGCAATTTGAACTCTAGCGAAGTTTGATTGAAAATTAAACTTGATTTTAGGGTTTTCTAATTGTTGCGATGATCTCTTATATTGATTCAATTGATAGATGTTAAGTGAAATGCTTGCTTAACAAGATGATTAACTTGTTATTGTCTTGCTAAAAAGCATTCTACTAAGGAAACAAAAAAAAGAAACATCCAACTGACATAGGACCAGACTTAGAAGCCACTTCACCTAGAGATATGTCTGGAACGATATCCAATCCAAATATGGTAGATGCATTTTCTAAGAATCCAGCATCTACAATTTTCTTAGCCCCAACACCTCCTTCTTCTGCTGGTTGAAAAACAAGAGCAACAATTCCCTATACAAAATAAGAAATAACATCACGATTCTATAAACGGTCGAAAATATCAGAACAAGATATAATATGCAAGAGTCATTTTGTGATAATGGATATAATACAATGGCCAAGTCTTCTTGATATGTGTTTGCTACCATTACAACAATAATTGATGCATTGAGTTATGTTGTAAAGATTTAAGTAGGCATATGCCATATGATAGCTAAGATGACTGCAACATACATAGTTGGGATAATGAACACTTAAAATTTGGCATCAGTTTGTCAATATGGAAATGTCAGAAACAGAATTCATGTGTGACTATTGACATCATTGAATTAAGAACACAAATATCTTAAATAGCAAAAATGCATAACCTACGGATTGAAGTATTTTTAAAGGATCAAGTTTTGCTACAGTCTGGATGTCCATAAAACATATTTGGTCGTTATCAGATGGAAGATGGAAGAAACAATAAGACTTTGTATTAATTGATTTCAAGGTGATTAATAGCAACAATAAGACAGATGACGCAATTGTTGGAATTTGATGTATGAGCCAATGATCTTAGATTCGAATCCTTAGTGAGGCGATATGTGAGATAATTTTTTTGACATTCGATTTAAAATAATCCATTCAGCAAATCCAGAATGTCAACTAGAAAGATTCCTCATGCCAAATCAGCCAAATATGGAATAAGGATTCTGCAAACAGATTCTTCATTTTATAAAATACGAATCACAAAAAAAAAATACTTTAAAGGAGGAAAACTAAAACTCTCTATATTAAAAGAAGACATCATGTATTTAACCCTTGATTTAATTATTAATAATTTATTAGGATCCTATTTAGCTATTTTGTTATTTAAGCACTAGCAAGCACTTCACTGAACATCACTCACTCAACAATGTCTCCAAGCAAAACTTTCATCTTCTTAGCTCTCTTATCCTTTTCACCACAACTCTTCCTAACAATTTCTTCTGCAGTAGAAGATAATGGCCTTCTCATGAACTACTACAAAGAATCATGTCCACAAGCCGAAGAAATCATCAAAGAACAAGTCAAACTCCTCTACAAACGCCACAAGAACACCGCTTTCTCATGGCTCAGAAACATCTTCCATGACTGTGCTGTTCAGGTAATTAGCACAACTTTCCTATTCATTATTTCATTTTTTTAGCTTATTTTAATCACTTCTAAACTTGTTTTTTTTCTCCAGAGTTGTGATGCTTCTTTGTTGCTGACATCCACAAAAAGAAGCTTGTCTGAGCAAGAACATGACAGAAGCTTTGGTTTGAGAAACTTTAGGTACATTGATACCATCAAAGAAGCTGTTGAAAGAGAGTGTCCTGGTGTTGTTTCTTGTTCTGATATCCTTGTTCTTTCAGCCAGAGATGGAGTTGTTTCGGTATGATTCCCTTTCTGTTTTTTCCTTTTAAAGAAAAAACATGTTTTTTTTAAGGATATGTTATGCATGTCCTAATCTAGTCCAGATTTGTTTTGACTTGTGTTTGAGGACTAAACTTATTTTTTAATTAATTATTACTAACATAATTAGTAGTTAATTAGTGTTTAATTACTTTGTTGTTTGCAGCTAGGAGGTCCTTATATTCCATTGAAAACTGGAAGAAGAGATGGTAGAAAGAGTAGAGTGGATCTGTTGGAGGAGTACCTTCCTGACCACAATGAATCAATTTCTTCTGTTCTTGACAAGTTTGGTGCCATGGGAATTGACACTCCTGGAGTTGTTTCTTTGCTTGGTATAACACAATTCTAATCACCTTCTCCATCAGTTAATTATTTCTTAAACATAATATAGTTTCATTTTTAAAAGTAACTTGTTTACATTAGTACAATACGGAAAAGGAAAAGAAAAACAGAAGTTTTGTTGTTAGAGGGTTGGACCCTGAGTCAGCATCTCGCAATTATTGTTTGTAAATGGACAATCACTTTTTTGTTAAGTTTAGTTCAACTTAACAAAATTTATTGTCCATTTGCATCATATCTAATAAAATATGTGTGATATGAATACTTATGAGTCATTAATAAAGCCAAATGGTAGGGTATTCGATTCTCATGAGTCATCATATTCTTAAAGAAAAAGCCAAATTGTACTTTGGATATATTGCATGTTGCATCATACTCATATCTACCACATATAAAACAAAGGGTCCTACCATTACTTGATGTAATATAGCATACAATAGGATCTACGTCTAGATCCTACTGTATGCAATATTATATAAATTTTTTGAGTATTTGCTTATGATTGTGATGAACACATGCAGGAGCACACAGTGTTGGTAGAACACATTGTACAAAACTAGTGCACCGTTTATATCCAGAAGTTGATCCAGCTTTGAATCCAGATCACATTCCACACATGCTAAAGAAGTGTCCTGATTCAATCCCTGACCCTAAGGCAGTTCAATACGTGAGAAATGACCGTGGTACCCCCATGATTCTTGACAACAATTACTATAGGAATATTCTTGACAACAAGGGTCTTTTGATAGTGGATCATCAACTAGCACATGACAAAAGAACAAGGCCTTATGTGAAGAAAATGGCCAAGAGTCAAGAGTATTTCTTCAAGGAGTTTTCTAAAGCTATTACATTGCTTTCTGAGAATAACCCTCTAACCGGTTCAAAAGGTGAGATTAGAAAAGAGTGCAGTGTTGCTAACAAACAACACCATGATGAGCCTTGAATGGAAATTTCATGGTGGAAGAAGAAGATGAAGTGATGTGCAAGATATTATGCAGAAATAAAAATGTTCATGGAGATTGGAGAACTTAATTGCTTTTAATTACTATTAATCTTTCTTTGAGATATGTACCTTTGTTTTTTATTTATTTAGTATTAGTACTATGGTAGCTCAATGTTGAGCATGTTGAAGATGATGTGAATGTATGGTATTTAATATGGTCCATGAATGGCATGTAGTGACAATGTTTATGATATTTGTGCACATCAAGTTTGTGTCTTTTATATGCACTAATAATAATTAACACCATGTGCATTGAATAGTATAATGCAAAAAGAAAACACTAACATTATTATACTAGGTAAGATGTATAAAATTATTAAATGAAAGACTTGAATAATTATTAAATAATTAAAGGAAGAAAATTCAAAATGAATTTCAAAATAATTAATAATAATTGGAGTAGGTAAGATGTATAAATAATCTAGAAAAAGTTAAGTAGAGAAAATGGTCCCACTTATTATAAAAAATAAATGAAATTAAAATAAATTTGAATCTCATTGAACAAGTGGTTCATTAAACAATTAGTGTGTGTGGGCCAAATTTCTTATCTTTGATAAATGAGATGACAGAGAATCAATTGCCAAAAGAAGAAAAAAAACAAAGAAAGATATGAGGATACAAGAAAGTTTGAAATGGATAAGATTCAGCTGTATAACTATGTTCATCCAAAATGGCCACTTTCAGTGATAATGTACAAACAACAACATACAAGACAAAATTGTAGCTAATCTTGTCAATCAAAATAAGTCCTTCAAATGTAGTTCTGTAGTTGCACAAATGGTAAAGTAAATTACGCTGGTTGTAAAAGAGGACTCAAAAGTTGAAGCTATTGTCATAAATAAGGCCACTTTGTTGAGGTTTCTTATTTACATCCATGAGTTTTATACTAATTTGATATCCATTTTTAAACTTGTTTCTTCACTTGACTATCACATTTATATGAAAGATTGTACATACTCCTCTTTACATCTCTCCACATTCAAAATTTTACCCACATTAGTAGTAGCAATAGTGTTTCCACTAAAAACAATTGTAATATCAATTTGGTTTTGTCCAATTTTTTGGTGTTGAAGACGTACGTCGGCTGGCAACCAAACTCGATAACCTGTTCATGGGAAAGTAGAAAGTATCGTCAATTTGTTAAGGTTTGAGAGGTCCTGGTTGTCTAGAGCTGAAGAAACTCCGAAGGCTGATCACTCAGGAGCTTTCTAGGCAAGGCATAAGTCTGAGAGAAGAGGCGTGGCTGGGGTAGGAAGTGTGGGGGGGAGTTGTTAAGGGTAGATCATATGCTAGTGTTTTGCAGAGTAAATCCAAAGCATTTTATCCTCATGAAAGGTCTGGTCCAAGGGTTGAAAATTAGGAGTTGCGCTCGAGACCTTTCCGCAACTTTGAATCAAACAAAGAAGAAGAAAGAAGGTTTAGTAGAGCTTTCCTTGGAATTGCTAAACAAGCAGAGATGACTTATAATATGCATGAGTACTTCAACATGGAAGGTTACTTTGGGATCTAGGCAACACCTATAGGTGCTAGTCTTTGTTTATTAGAAGAACGAAGGAAAGGTGAGATAGAAGAACTGGGGAACAATGATGGAAATTGGCTCCATCAATGATTCAAGGTAGTTAGAAGGTGGAAACCAGAGGAAATTGATTTGGAAAAGTTAACACGGTTACGAATATATGGCATTCCTTGCTGTTGTACCTCAAAATTTTCCCTATCATTTATCAAGACTTTTCTCACAAGACTTCTTGGAATCAAGACAGGATTAGGGTTTAGTCAGCTCAAGACATCTCATCTTGCACTGATAACCCAAAATTAGGGTTTGAGTTTGCACAAGAATTTTTGGACCACCAATGCTTCATGTGACTTTCATACATCATTTTGGACCCTTAAGATTGCTCATGATAAGTTTCAAGCCTTGAACCACATTTTTGATCAGTCAATTAGACAGTTGACCTAAAAAGCAGCTGTATTGGGGAAAAAGTCAACCATGACCAATTTACAGTCAAACTTCATAATTTTTGATCCACATCAACATTTTAGACTCATATGTACCATTTGATCAAGTTTGGATCACAACTCCTCAAGAAATTTGATCAAATCATCAAAAGGGCAAAATGGTCAAAATTAGAGTTTTGACTGAGAAAAGGCAATTTCTGATTTTTAACCTAGCCAATGACCAATTGAGTCCAAGCATGATTTCAAGGATTCAATGACATCATCTTAACCTAATTACATGGTTCAAAAGATCTCAAGTTCATTGGATTGACAAATGAAATATGCAGTCAACTTATCAAAAGTCAATTGTATACTAAAAAGTCAAACTTTGACTTTTTGATCAAAATCAAGTACCAAGGGTCATAATTCATCAAGATATGTCAAAATATGAAACTTGTTCACCAAGAAACTCAAATTTGAAAATTAGGGTTTTAATTTGAAAATTTTCATAACTTAGAGTTTTTCTAAGTATAAAAATTTTCTAATTTTTTCCCAACTTTTTACCACTTTTTCACCATGATACATTTTGATTCAAGAAAAGTTCCCAACATGAAAGTTGTATTCCTCCATGAAATCTACAACTTTGCTTCACAAATGTTTCCCAAAAGATGCTTGTATCTCAAGTTATGAATTTGTGAATTAGGTCCATGAACTTCTTAACTTAGTGAAATTTTGCCCTAATTTAGGCAGGTTTTGGACCCAACTTCATGGACATTTTTCACCTAGTTACAAGAGGCATCTCAAATTTCATTTTAAATATGGATTATAGAGCACATTGCAAGCTTTCCAAAATGTCCCAGAACTCTCCAAGATCATTTTTGAGTAGGGAGAATCGAAGAAGGGAAGTTGGCATTTTCTCACTTTTGATCAAGTCATTTTCACATAGCATCAAGTTGAAAATCAAATCTATGTTGGTTATATCTTGCTTTACAGGTCCTAAGATTGTTATACACTCCATAATTAAATTCATACTCAGAAGCTAAAGCCTTTTGTAAGTCTCAGAGTGCCTAAGAGAGGAGGGGGGGGGGGGGGGGGGGTGAATTAGGTCTTATAAAATTTATTCGGTTTTATGAGAATGCTTGGTAGTAATTTTTGGTTAAGTGTTTGAAGGTTTTGATTATATCTTTATCTTTTCCTGATTATGGTGATGAAAGCGATAAATGCGGAAAAGTAAAGAACACGGTGATATATCCTGGTTCCCCTCACAATCCGAGAGTACTCCAGTCCCCTTTCCAACACGAAAGAGATTTCACTATAGTTAGAATAATTGTACAGCCTATGCTTACTATCTAACCTATAGGGTGATCAAAGGTTCTTAACACCTTTAAGACCAAACAAACACTAATGTGAATGAAGAACAATCCTCTTCAAATCACAACACTTACTTCCAACAATCCTGGATAGTAAGGGAAAATCTTTAAGTAATACAATGATTAATTTTGAAGTATATGGAGAGCTTTATCAATCTTCAATTGATCTTCTTCTTCAAGATAAAAACAATTCTCAACAATGTATATAAATGTTCACAATGTATGAATGAAACTTGTAATGATAATGAAAGTGTATATGGCAAGTTTCAAAAATTTATGAACACATGAAAGTTTAAATTCAAATGAGAGTGAATGAGAAAATTGTTAATGAAGAAGTATATTTGTTAATTTGAAAATTGAAGTATTGAACATTGAACATATATGAAAATGTTATTGTGTTCTTGTTTTGAAAAACTGAAAAATCTGCATTTTATAAAGTTGTAAGAACCTCTTCATTCATGCCAATTCATATGAAAAGTTGCAATGCATTCATGAAAAGATACCACTTGAAAAATGTTCAAAAAACAAAGTAAAAGCTGCATTGGTTCGCTAGGAACCGGTTCCGATACTGACAGAACCCGGTTCTTAGTGAACGTTATAAGTTGGAATTCAAATTTATCACGCAGGAACCGATTCCCCTATTGGTACAACCCGGTTCCTGGTACAAAAACCAGGGACATGTTTTTTGAGAAAAGCTGGAACCCGGTTCCCTGTTAGGGAGGAACCGGTTCCTAAAGGTTTATTTTCAAAAATACATTTTGAAAGATATTTCAAACAAAGTTTTTCTTGATGTTAAATTTATGGAATATGTATATGTTGATGAATGCATATTGTGAACATCTATATTCAAGGTTTTAAGAATTATTTATACCATATTGACATTTGATGATTTCTTTAATAATTCTTCTATAATCTTCAAGACTTTAATTTGATGTTGATAAGCTTTTTGCACATCCTTTGAAACTTGATGTCCATGTTGTCTTCATCAAAACACATGCTTTAAATATGACTTGAGAAGCTTGCAATTACATTCTCCCCCTTTTTGATGATGACAACCAAGTCTTGAAAACGATTTCTTGAAATGTTCATGTTGTTTTGTGTAGCGAACATGTTGAGCAAATGCAAGGCTCCCCCTAAATTGTATGCTCCCCCTAAGTCCATGATTCTTTGAATTTTGGAGAGAGTTTGACATTTATTTGGGCCTGCAATTTCTTTGAAACAAAACAACATACATGCATACTCTTCTCCCCCTTTGTTAACATCAAAAAGGATGGGGAAAAAGAGTGAAATAGATACATTTAAAAATTAAGACGAGTATCTTAAGAGAAACATTAGATATCACCTTCATCCAAAATACCAAGTTCTCTTCGGATTTTGAAGAAAGGTTCTCGAGCAAGCGGTTTAGTGAAGATATCCGCGAGTTGGTTATGAGTATCCACAAAAGTGACTTCGACATCTCCTTTAAGTACATGATCATGGAGAAAATGATGTCGAATATCTATATGTTTGGTTCTTGAATGCATCACCGGATTCTTTGTAATATTGATATCACTTGTATTGTCGCATCGAAGAGGAATGCATCCGATATCAAGTCCGTAATCACGGAGTTGTTACTTGAGCCAAAGAATTTGTGCA